ACAATATACTTTCACAGTGCTTCCTCAGGGGTCTATCAACTCCCCAGCACTAAGTCATAATTTAGTCCATAAGGATCCTGATAGCCTTTCCCTTTCACAAGACATCACACTGGTCCATTATATTGATGACATTATGCTAATTGGACCTAGTAATGAAAAAGTATCAATGACTCTAGACGTTATTGTTGAGACATTTGTGTGCTAGAGGGTGGGAAATTAACCTGACAAAAATTCAGGCACTTTCCACCTCAGTGAAATTTCTAGGGGTCCAATGGTATGGGGCATGTCGAGATATTCCTACTAAAGTGAAGGATAAGTTATTTTATCTGGCTTCCCCCACAACTAAAAAGGAGGCACAATGTCTGGTAGGCCTCTTTGGATTTTAGAGGCAACATATCCCTCATTTGGGTGTGTTGCTTCAGCCTATTTATCAAGTGACTCAGAAAGCTGCTAGTTTTGAGTGGGGCCCAGAACAACAGAAGGCTCCACAGCAGGTTCAGGCTGCCGTGCAATCTGCCCTGCCACTTGGGCCATATGATCCAGCTGATCCAATGGGGCTTGAAGTGTCTGTAGCAGACAGAGATGCTGTTTGGAGTCTTTGGCGGGTCCCTATTGGTGAATTGCAACACAGAGTCTTGGGATTTTGAAGCAAAGCCCTGCCATCCTCTGCAGATAACTACGCTCCTTTTGAAGAATAGCCTTTAGCTTGGGCTTTAGTAGAGACAGAACATGGGCCACCAAGTCACCATGAGGCCTGGGCTGGCCATCATGAACTGGGTGCTGTTTGATCCACAGAGTCATAAAGTTGGACATGCACAGCAGCATTCCATCATCAAATGAAAGTGGTATATAAGAGATTGGGCTCCAGCAGGACCTGAAGGCACAAATAAGTTGCATGAGGAAGTGGCCCAAATGCCTATGGTCTCCACTCCAGTCACATTACTTTCTTTTTCTCAGTCTGTACCTATGGCCTTATAGGACGTTCCTTATGATCAGTTGACTGAAGAAGAAAAAACTCGTGCCTAGTTTACAGATGGTTCTGCAGGATATGCAGATACCACTCAAAAGTGGACAGCAGCGGCACTGCAGCCCCTTTCTGGGACTTCCCTGAAGGATAGTGGTAAAGGGAAATCCTCCCAATGGGCAGAACTTCGAGCTGTGGATCTGGCTGTTCACCATGCATGGAACAAGAAATGGCCAGATGTGCGATTGTATATGGATTCACGGGCTGTGGCAAATGGCTTGGACAGGTGGTCTGGGACTTGGAAGGAGCATGATTGGAAAACTGGTGACAAGGATATATGGAGAAGAGGTATGTGGATAGATCTCTCTAAATGGGCCAAAGGAGTAAAGATATTTCTCATGTGAATGCCCACCAAAAAGTGACCTTGACAGAGGAGGACTTTAACAATCAGGTGGATGGGATGACATATTCTGTGGAAAGCACTCATCCTTTTTCTCTAGCTACTCCTGTCACTGCTCAATGGGCTCGTGAACAAAGTGGCCATGGTGGCAGGGATGGAGGTTATGCATGGGCTCAGCAACATGGATTTCCACTTACCAAGGCTGATTTGGCTACCGCCAATGCTGAGTGCCTAATCTGCCAGCAGCAGAGACCAACACTGAGTCCATGATATGGAACCATTCCTCGAAGTGATCAGCCATCAACTTGGTGATAAGATGATTACATTGGACCACTTCCATCATGGAAAGGACAGCATTTTGTTCTTACTGGAATAGATACTTAATTCTGGATATGGATCTGCCTTCCCTGCATGTGATGCTTCTGCCAAAACTACCATCTGTGGACTTACAGAATGCTTTATCCACTGTCATGGTATCCCACACAGCATTGCTTTGGATCAAGGGATTCACTTCACAGCAAATGAAGTGCGGCAATGGGCCTATGCTCATGGAATTACTGGTCTCACCATGTTCCCCATCATCCTGAAGCAGCTGGCTTGATAGAACGATGGAATGGCCCACTGAAAACACAATTATGGCACCAACTAGGTAGCAATACCTTGAAGAGTTGGGGCAATGTTCTCCAGGAGACTGTATATGCTCTAAACTAGCACCCAATATATAGTGCTGTTTCTCCAACAGCCAGGATTCACAGGTCCAGGAACCAAGGGGTGGAAATGGGAGTGGTACCACTCACTATCACCCCTAGTGACCCAGTCAAAAAATTTTTGCTTCCTGTCTCTGCTACCCTATGCTCTGCGGGTCTGGAGATCTTAGTCCCAAAAGGAAGAACACTCCCACCTGGAGACACAATACTGACTGCAGTGAACTGGAAGTTAAGAATGCCACCTGGCCATTTTGGTTTCTTCATGCCTTTGGATCAACAGACAAAGAAGGGCATTACTGTACTATCTGGTGTGACAGATCCTGATTACCAAGGGTGAATTGGATTGACATTGCATAATGGAGGTAAATAAGAGTATGTCTGGGATACAGGAGATTCTTTAGGACGTCTCTTAGGACTACCGTGCCCTGTGATTAAAGTCAATGGAAAATTACAGCAACCCAATTCTGATATGACTACTAATGGCCCAGACCCCTCAGGAATGAAGGTTTGAGTCACTCCACCGGGCAAAGAACCACGATCAGCTGAGGTGCTTGCTGAGGGCAAGGGAAATATGGAATGGGTAGTGGAAGACGGTATTTCTGGATATCAGCTATGACCATGTGACGAGTTGCAGAAATGAGGACTGTGATTGTTATATTTCTTCACTGTACATGTGCATGAAATATTTTTGTTTCCTTCTGTTATGAACCATGAAATGTAAATAGGGCTAATGCATTTTGGTTGTATGCATGTTAGCGCATCATGTTAGGCAAACATATGACTTAATAATTGTTCTTATTTAGAGATTATATATGGTTATATTGGCTCCCACCTTGGTCCCCTTAAACAAATTATGGGTTCTAGTTTCCCTTTTCATTCTTTCATCTACCTAACCATTCTTGTTTACTTCCTATCTCACAAATATTTATTGAAATTCTACTTGCTAGTAATATTTTCCCTTCCTCTACTTCCTTTCACTTTGTAGGTTTTGTTTATTTCTTTAGCTACTATGATTTCATTTCAAGGAGCCATGAAAGTTTTGAGGTATCAGTCAATATACTCAATCCATCAGCTTCAGAATTCTGTAGCAGACAAAATCGCCAGACTTTTCCCCAAATATCACTCCCAACATCTTTCTCTTAAACAGCAACCTGTCCATCCCCATCTCTAATCTCAGAAGAAGGAAGTTACCTCTCCTGCTATAGCCCTTTCAAACGGACACTGGTGTTTGTGTACTTCAGGATGGTGATGAAATGGATATGTTTCTTGTTCTTCTATATGGGTTTTAGACTATTATCTTGCTGCCTCTTCTTATAAAATACCTTGCTGCATAAGTTTCCACCCTCTGGATATCATCACATGTCCTCCCTTCTAACTGCAATCATCTAGAAACACTGAACTTGCTGGTACAGTTCTCCTCTCCATGCGGACAGTACATTAGGTAACCACCAAACCCATGTGTATTAAGCTATTCAAACCCCTAGCTCCTTGGTTCCTTGACTTCTTCATTTCCAGGAACCTCCTCTATACCACCTCAGTGACCCATTCCCACAGCCTTACCCTTTATCTTATTATCAACAGAATCTGAGCCACTTCTAGAATCACTAATATAAAGAGGCAGGTTCTTCCTCAATCAGAAACACTTATTTTCCCAGATCACTTGCATAAGAAATCCATTATAACAAGTATGAAGAAAGATGGTAAGATTTCTCTATTAAGCTCCTTTCCCAATTATCTACAACTACTTTTTATCACTCTTCACTGTTCAAACCCCTTGTTGTTGTTGTTATGTGCTGTCGAGTCAGACCCGACTCATAGCGACCCCTCCTTGGGTTTCCGAGGCAGTATCACTATGGAAGTAGATTGCCCAACC